CTTAATAGTACTTATAACCACAACTGCCCTGGTGTTTGATAGATAAAATTCTTAGTTGTAAAAAAAATGAATGAAAAATATTGCTATTTATCATCAGACTTTACAGACAAAATAAACAAGAAAGCCCTTATCATGCATCGTTATCGTTGGAGTGCTAATATTATATACTGTATAAGCACAAGGTCTTTTGCATCTTTGTTCAGAAAAGTAAAATGTTACCTCAGTATGCGTGCTCTGATAAATTCTGAGTCGAATCCAAACTCAAGTAAACAACATCACAATTGGCTCATTGAACTAGAAGAAAGCAATAGCGAGAGATAAGAAGGTATTGTGGCAAAAAAACCTCCAAGTATAACTGTTTTCCCCCTCACACTGTACTAACAACAGCTTTTAATACACCTGGATGCATTGCAAGCAAGATAGATGATGAGTTTTGCCCATATACCAGTGAAAGAGAGGGTGAAATAAATCAAACTAACATTAAATCAGAGATCTGAGCACGAGATGTGGTTTGAATTTATCCAGACAGTGTAATCGCTTTCACTGGAGCTTCTAATATGAGTTCATTAGTGTTCTTCCCTCAGTGACAGTTTTGGCAGTTAGGATGACAGGACTGATTATTGACTCGACATCTACATCCACCAGTTATGTCACCGTTGCCCTGTAAAAAAGAAAAGAAAGAAATGAGAACCATGTCTCAGACACACAATACAGAAACCTTTCTGAATATGTTTATCTATCTTAATGCATATATATATATATATATATTTACATTTGGGCCCCATCGAGCTTGTTTAGTGACCCAACAGATTTCTGTTCTGCACATCAAGCAGCAGATCCAGTCACATCCATCTTTTTTCTGGACAATGATGTCACACCGTGGGCATTTCATGGCTTCCCCATTCTGCAGCAGGCTCTGTAGTTGAATACAGTGAAACAGTGTGAAGTAGCCATAGAGGAAAATGCCTGAGAGGGTGATTTTAAAAAGTACAGAAAAACATCAACATAATACAATTTATCCACTCGACTCAAAATCTGAATATAATATGATGATCTAACTTTGCTGTATTCCATAAAGTAAAGCCAACGCCTAAATCCTTGCCATAGCCTGCATATAAAAGATGGACCTAGCCACTGCATGCAACTAAACAGAACAGATACATTTACAGCATGTGGTGAATACCACAAGGTTATTAGACAGGTGTTAAGAGGGCAACAGATCACCACAGATGCTGACTGGAAATTTCTACTCTGAATTTCAGCCTCATTAAGCAGCCATTAATGAAAGAACATTTAATTGTAAAAAAAATAAATGACTGATTGTTCTATGATTTATTTTACAGGGTTAAGATTCTACAAAATTGCCTATTTGGTTTATTTCACTCTGGATAAGAGAAAAATTATAGTCCTTGATAAGAGACAATGTATTATTTTGTTTGTAATGTCATTTGTGTTCTGCTTCTTGATCCACATTGCTTTGCTTTGCCAGCATTCATAGATTTTCACTGTTCAGGGTAATTAACAAAGCACTTT